ATGTACACATGTGAGAACTATAGATATGTGAGTCTATAGAGGTTGTGCACTATGCTGTCACCACAGCTCGTATAATTGCACCGAAGTGCCACATAGAATTGCACCAGAGTGCCGCGTAGAATTGCACCGTAGTGCCATATAATAATGTCCATAAGGACTACATATCATTCCTTAAGAATCATATACATATACTAGGGATAAGTATGTGTCTTACCAGACTTCACACATGTTCCAAAGAATACATATATGTCCCGAAGGACCACATATCATTCCTTAAAAATCATATACATATGCCAAGGATCAAGTATGTGTCTCACCAGACTTCACACATGTTCCAAAGAATACATATATGTCCCGAAGGATCGCGTAGACCCTCAACTCTTGGCATGCCAACTATACCCTAGCTCTCAAGACACATAACATAGGTATTTTCTTTTATACTTATCATTTCACATAACACATAGTTCAATTACTCATAGAACATTTTCATATGAGTCATATTTACATGTCACATAGCTTATACTTTCTCACGTAGTTACATAGATCCATATCATATAACATATATCCCAAAGTGCACATAATCACATATATCATATCATATAGCTTAGATCATTTCTCAGATATTCATATAAACATACATATCATATCTTGTTCACATATGATCATATATGCTTCATATAACACATAGAAACACCTAGAACACTTTCTCATAGCTTATATCAATTTTCAGAGTCCTTTCATATTACCTGATGACATATATCATATAGATATATAATAACAGATATTATATTATCTACCTTATGCTCCATTTCTTTGTATTCCCTTAGATTATAAATTATGTCGTATTTCTAAACATATATCATTTAATAGTATTTTTATTTAGGTACTAATTTAATCTCTTTACTTAATTCAATTTCATATATTCATTATAATTTTCATATAGCTCCATTATACTAATTCTCATAATAAATCACTATGTACTTGTCCAACTCATGTTTCCATTATTTATAATGTTACCCATGTTTACCTAGTTCATATCACTTCTTATAAACTCACTTTCATCATATTTTCCTATTATTACATATTTTATCTCATAACCATGTATCTACATAGTCTTATATTTCATTATCATATTATATATTTGTTCTCCTATGACTCTTAATAAACATCTATTTCTATTTCCCTACATCTCTCGACTTATCTCTATATTCCTATAATTTCATAACTTATTTTATATCATTTTCCCTTTTTACTCACATAAACCATCTATTTATTTAGTTCAATTTCTCATGACTTCCACAATACTATTTAATAAAACTTTGTAGCTCTTCACTTTAATACATAAACCATAGTTTCCTTTAATTTATCAATCTTCTCTATATAACTTATGTATCCTTATTTATGCCCTCGAATTCATACTATTCTCTTAAAGTCTCCTAACATTTCTCGTATAATCACTTATACCATATCATATGACTTATACTTGATTATCTTATTCTCTCATGTTCATTTCATTTCTTATGACTCTATCATATAACTTATTCCATGTTCTTCCATTATTACATAATAAAGTCTTACATAAATCATATAGCATATACAAAGTATATCATTATCTTTAGTCATGCATACATACAATCAATGTAATACATATAATCACATATAGTTATAACCAACACATAATCATGTCTATGACTTCATGCATATTACTCTAGGAAATAGACTCATCGCAAGTCTTATTTCCATTAACACTACATGTCACTAGTACACTCACCTTGGCCTCACTAGTCAATTCCAATCTCTTATCTTTCCCTTGATCGATCTTACTTGCCAAAATGTTTCGGAATTGCTTTACGCAATAAATAAATGTACATTTTGAGGCAATCATTAGATACCTACACCTTGTAATTGGATACTAGCAATTTAAACGAACTTATTAAACTCATATTCACAATTTTCCTTTAGGGGGTATCGATTCCCTACTGGGGGTATCGATACCCTCATGACATTCTGGAATTTTGTCGTTTGAGAGGGTATCGGTACCCCTTTGAATGGGTACCGATTCCCCCTAACCCAAAAATCATTTTTCAGCACGAAAATTACTTCATTTCCTCTCAAACACTTCAAATATCATCCCCTTTCTTATTCTTAACTTACATATACATGCTTAAACTCATTACTACTCATTCAATACATCTTTAACTTCAAAATCTAATTCTCTACATAGAATTCAAGAATCACACTAATTTTTCTTCTTGTTCTAAATTCAATTCTATCACTTTATATCTCTTAATTCAACCATTGACAAGTCAAATTTATCTTCCAATTTGAGTAAAGAACTCTATTCCAGAATTTCATTCAAAAACTCTTATTCCTTAATCCCTCCTAATTCCACCATCCTTTGTTTTTAAGATGATTTAAGCTTTCCTTAAGCTTAATTATCATCCGATAATCATAACCAAACCTTTAGTTGAAAAAATAATCAACTAATGAAGAAACTTACCTTTGCTTATGGCTTCACGGTGGACAAGAAGAGAATGAAGAAGAGAAGTCTGGAACTCTCTCATATTTCCCACGTTTATAATACTCAAAAAGGAAGATAAAAATCTTTCCTATGAAAAGACCATTTTGCCCCTTTAGTTCATCCATCTTTGCTATTTAATCCAATATTAAAATTCTTTACTTAAATCCCAAGACTTTTAAATTTCATTTCTAAATTGAACACAAAACTTTCAAAATTTATAATTTAGTCACTGACCCTGATTTGGGATGTTACAAGTAGACTTAACTTTAGTCTCAAAACTCCATTATTTCAATATTTGTCTTTCAGATGGCTTGAACAACCTACTTCATCATATTGTTATGAAATAAATTAGAGTACTTATTCCTTCGACCACTCGTTTAGGAGGAATAAGTTAAATCTAAGTCGTGTCGAAGATTTGATTTACATCCACTAAAATCTTACCAAAGAATTCTTCTAGTCACTATGAACTTTAATGGATATTTATGACATTTTTATGCCTTTTAAAATTTAAAATTTAATTTTATATTGATCATACTCTTATACTCGTACCTTATAATCCTAAAAAATTATCGTTTCTCGTCCTTGTATCCGTTCTCGTACCTATCAATGCAACATAGTAAAAAACAATACATTAACACATGAAACACTAGTTGCCCGGTATTAAATTGGAGACCAAACGTGAATCAAGATTAAAGCGCGATGTCCTTTACCAGTACATTATAGACTTGATCAATAAAATACTAAAAGTTGTACACATTAATATAAAACGTAAAGAAACTCAAACCAGCATGGATCCATGGTTTATACGGACGACAACCTGAAATGCTCAAGTGATCGAGTTGGAGCATCAAGACCTTTCCCATAGTAATAATGGACAAAGTCTTTTATAGTGATGTCTCTATAAATGGGAGGGTTTTCTTCCGATAACAACTCTTTGATACCCATAAATCTTCAAAGGATTTGGTGGGGGCATAATTACTTGAAGAAATACGCCACTGAAACTCTTAGACCTATGGATTTAGTCACCACCCTATGGTAGGTATTTGGTTCATGGAATGTAACATTACCTTCGAGAATAAGATTACCAGAATGTTACATTACCTTACACGTTACTGAGAATGTTACATTATGATGTTTGGTTTGTTTGACATGAATGTATGATTACAGTGTTTGGTTAAAGAATAAAAGATGATATTTTTTAACAAGTTGAATTCCAAATATTCAAATGAAAATATTTATATAAAAATTCATAGAAAATATATTATTGTATTATTTTCAATTTATATATTTTTTATTAAATTTAAATTCATAAAATTTATATAATTTTTTTATAAAATTTAAAAGATAAATGGTTAGGTTAAAAGAGTAAATATACCATATATTTTTTTAATCTTAATTAATATTTAAAAAGTTATGATAATAAATAAATCAAATTCCCGGTTGGGAATATTTTTGAAATAATTATTTAATTAATAAATTTATGATAATATACTATAGCTTTTGAAATAAAAGTAAGGGTATTTTTGAAATAAATATTTTATTTCAAGGGCATTTTAGTCCAAATTGAAGGGAAACAAAAATACCTAAGTCCACCATGGGATTAGCATTCCCAGTAAAATTTGAAAAAAAAAAAAATTATGTTGGGAATATTTTATTACTTGCCTATTGGAAATCTTGCTCATCAAACTTGGGAATCACAAGTAGGAAAAAAAATATTCCTACCAGTAATGCTGAAATCCTCCATCCAAACGTCTCCTTATGAATTTACTCAATATCATCGTCATATATTCAAAAAATCACTATTTTACTCAATGTTTTTGGTAAAGTACGCAAAATGCGTCATTCATATGACGTTATTTGGTTAAATCCCCGACTATTAAAAGTTACAAAATGACTTCCTGATTATAGGACATTACTTTGTTGAGTCTCCGATTATTAAAAGTTATAAAATTATCGTCCGACTATTCATATGTTTCAAACTCGTCTTTTTCCATAAAAACAAATTGGCAATTGTTTGAGGTAGACGTTAATCTATTGGCTAAGATATGATAAAATCTGATCTCAGAACTGTTTGAGTTATATTTTGTGGATCTACTGTCCACTTACAATATACCGTTGAGCTAGTGCTTGGAAGATTATGTTGTGAACCAATGAATTAAAGCAACGGCGGTGCCAATAAAGATCCTTAAAATATGATTTTATCATACATCAGTCAATATGTTAACATCCGACTCAGAAGACCATTAATTTTTAAAGAAAAATGACGAGTTTGGAATATATAAATAATTGTGTGACAATTTTGTAACTTTTAATAGTTAATTGACTCAACAAAATAATACTTTATAACTGGGAGACCATTCTATAACTTTTAATAGTCGAGAAATCATTTTGTAACTTTAAATAATTTGAGACTCAACGTGCCCGGTATCATTTACGTACTTTATCATTTTTTTCTAAAAGAAAGACATGCACAATACTTTTAGATACTTGCCTGTAGCATGACACCCAAATTCACAATGAGAGCACCACGAACTGGACGAATATCAATCCATTGATTTTGATGAAGGACTTGAAGGCTTCCGATATGGTATTGTAAAAGAACCGTAAGGAAGCTATTATCGGCATGGGTGGATGTGCCTGTACCCAAGTGTGGTTCAGGGCATGGTGGGTAGTAATGTCCCAGGCAAAACAGTCCTTCCATGCACCCCATGTCTTCCAAGTAGGTGGTATCTAGACCCAAAGCCTCTGATAGCAGTTTGAACAGTGTGTCACCTAATTCCTTTACTTTCTTTGTATAATCGAGTATTATCTCCCTGCAACCATTTTATTTAAGTCATTATGATAAATTAGTCACCATTATTTATTTAAATGATTATTTAATCTCATATTTTTTTCCTTCTGAGCATTTTAACTCTAACGTTTCAATTATTTTTTTTTATCAAAATAGCTCATGTTGAATGAAAATATTAGTTGGTTAAAATTGATATATATTACTTTCACATGTATTTAATATATGATACGGAATATGTCATATCTTCAATGTGAGTGACATATCGCATGTCACGTCATCATTTTAGATGATATGACACATATCACATCATTATTTTAGATGATATGACATATATTACAATTATTTTAGGAGTAAACATTTCAACAAAATTTACTTTATTCATAAAACTAAAATTTGAATAAAAAAACTATTTTAGAAATTTAATATCTCGTCATTCTGAATCAACTAATAGTGGGTGTCTAAATTTTTCTTAGTCTATGTTCACCCTAAATTATGAAGATTGGAGGGTTAAACAGATAAATTATAATATCTCATCACCCAATCGAAACATCTTATCTCTAGAATAGTTTCATTAGATTTACAAATAATGAAGCAGGAATTTGAGAGAGAGAAAAGTTGAATCAATGCTAAAAATATTATGATGGAGTTGGAAGCTAGTCGAGTGGATAATAAAGCACTAAAAAGAACATGTAGATGAGCTTGAAAATTGTTTGTAAGGACACGGGCTTTTGGAAACTTTACGAAAAATAATAAGCAATAACTTTCTCAATTCAAGGAGTTGAACCAAAGAATCCAAGAGAGGGATGAAGCATACCCTCATACAAGTCCAACCATGATTGATGAACCTAGCTGGGATGGTTGCAACATTGACTTAGAAGATTGAGTTGATATCAAATTATGGAAGGAAGTCAACATGGCTCATTGAAGAAATCAATAAGTTAGGAATTGGAGTTCGTCGGAATCTGTAAAATCTAAATATCTGATGTGATGAAACCTTGTTTTCTAATGAAAGTTGTTTATAAAATCATTCTTGAATCAACGTCGATATTACGTACGTTTTATTATAAATTGCATTTTCATAGCATTATCATGTACTATTGTTAAGTTTTGAATTTTTTGAGGGTTCAATAGAAATGATCCTAGAATCTGAGAATCAACAAGTTCAACACCTTTATAATACAAGAAGAAAACCTAAGATCATGGATGAGAGAAAGCGTCTTAGAAAGACTTGGAAGAACAATTAGCCAAGTAACAACAAGATAGGTACGACCACCTCTACTTGAAAAGGAAACCACAATGATTTTTGTTAATACATTGAAGGCACCATTCCTGAATAGATTGTTGGGTAACACTGCCAAGAGTGTCGTTGATATGGTAATTTCAAGAGAATTGTTTGAAATTGACATTAAAAATGGGAAAATTGATGGTGATGAAGCGACAATACTAGAATACAACATATAAAAAGAAAGATAATGGTGAATAATCTCTAGAGCAAGTAGTTAAAAACTCTCAGATAACACTAGGGATGGCAAACGGGCAAGTCGGGTGTGGATACCCCCACCCCCTTGTAACATCCCAAATTATGGGTTAGTGACTAAATTGTAAAATTTCATAAATTGGTGATTAAAGTGGAAAAGTTGAAAAGTTCAATGATTTATGTGGAGATAATCCCTGGAAGTTTTTAGTAATTATCCAAAGTAGTAAAGGGCAAAATGGTCATTTGACAATAAAAGATATTTTTATCCCCTTGAATAGGAGATTAAAACGTGGAAAATGAAAACATTTCATCTCTTCTTCCTTTCTTTTTCTCCTCCCGTAAGAGCTCAAGGGAAAAGGTAAGTTTCTTCATTAGTTGATTATTTGTTCAATTAAAGGTTGGATTTTGATCATTTGATGGTAATTAAGCTTAAGGAAAGCTTAATTGGTTCTAAAACAACAAGATGAAAGGTATAGGAAAGATTAAAGATTTTGAGTTTTTGAATGAAATCTTGAAATAAAGTTGATAAGTTGAATTTTAAGTTGAATTTGACTTTTCAATAGTTGAATTAAGAGATTTGGAGTGATAGAAAGGAATTTAGAACATGTTGAAATTTGAGTATAATTCTTGAATTTCATTAAGAGGAGAGGATTTTGAGAATTTAGATGGATTAAATGAGTACAAATGGGCTTAAGTATGGTGTGTTTGAGTTTAGATATAGAAGAGGTTGAAATATGAAGTGTTTAAGATGAAATGAAGTAAATTTCGTGTTGAAAATATGATTTCTGGGCAAGGGGAATCGGTACCCATTCAAGGGGAATGGTACCCATTCAATGGGGAATCGATACCCCTCAAGTGAACCAGAAATTCCAGAATCTCATAGGGGAATCGATTCCCCCACAGGAGGGAATCGATTCCCCCTAAAGGAAAAATGTGAATATTGGTTTAATAAGTTCGTTTAAGTTGCTAGTATCAAATTACAAGTGTAGGTATTTAATGATTGCCTTAAATGTATATTTATGTAGATTCTGACGTTCCGGAACATTTGGCAAGTAAGATCGATCAAAGAATGATAAGAGATTGGAATTGATTAGTGAGGCCAAGGTGAGTGCATACTAGTGACATGTAGTGTTTAATGGAAATAAGACTTGCGATGAGTCTATTTCCTAGAGTAATATGCATGAAGTCATGGACATGATTATGTGTTGGTTATAATTATATGCGATTATATGTATTACATTGATTGTATGTATGCATGACTAAAGATAATGATATGCTTTGTATATGCTATATGATTTATGTAAAACTTTATTATGTAATAATGGAAAAACATGGAATAAGTTATATGATAGAGTCATAAGAAATGAAATGAACATGAGAGAATAAGATAATCAAGTATAAGTCATATGATATGGTATAAGTGATTATACGAGAAATGTTAGGAGACTCTACGAGGATAGTATAAATTCGAGGGCATAAACATAAATAAGGATACATAAGTTATATAGGGAAGATTGATAAACTAAAGGAAACTATGGTTTATGTATTAAAATGAAGAGCTACAAAGTTTATTAAAGAGTATTGTGGAAGTCATGAGAAATTGAACTAAATAAATAGAAATGAACTAAATTATAGTGAGTGGAAAGGGAAATGATATAAAATAAGTGGAAATTATTTATAAGATAGAATAAGACTAATTGAACCTCTAATATAAACTTTATAAAGGAGTACTTGGGTAAAATCATTATATGATACAATTATAGAGTATTACTATACAAATTATATTAAAATAAGATATATGAGAATATGAGTAAGTTTATAGGTTATTGATAGGACATATAATATATAATGTATGATAATATGAAAAAGTGAACTAAGTTTAATGATGTTGAACCCTATGAGTAGAAGTTATGTGATTATAAGTAACATGTTATATGATTACAAGATATGATACATGATAGAGATATAGGAAAGAGAAAATATGTTATATGAATTATATGACTATGTGATTATATGAAAATGTTCTACGCGTAAGTGAACCATGTGTTTATATGTATATGGGATATGTGATTTATATAACAATGAGCTATGTGAAAGGACTACATGACTATGTGTATATGTGAATGTATGTTAACATAAATATTAATGCCCATGTTATGTGTCATGAGAGCTAGGGGTATAGTTGGCATGCCAAGAGTCGAGGGTCTACGCGGTCCTTCGGGACATCATATGTATTCTTTGGACATGTGTGAAGTCTTATGAGACATACTTGATCCCTAGTATATGTATATGATTCTTAAGGAATGATATGTGGTCCTTATGGACATTATTATATGGCACTACGGTGCAATTCTACGCGGCACTCCGGTGCAATTCTACGCGGCACTCCGGTGCAATTCTACGAGCTGTGGTGACAGTATAGTGCACAACCTCTATAGACTCACATATCTATAGTTCTCACATGTGTACATGGGCTTTGAAAAGAGAACATATTTTGATATAATGATATGTGTATTTCTAATTACATGGTACAAGTGCATATATGTCATGGTGATATGAGATGCTATGTTATGTATTATATGACTATAGAAATTAGTAATGTATGTGGTATATTAAATGTATATTATATGTTTATGCTCATATGACGAAATTGAAGTCATGACAAGGGAATTAGTAAGGATAAAATGTTGGTGATATGAGAACAATGTAGGTGATATATGTATATGATGTGTGATATGAATTGTCTGATATGATATATGTGTGATAGGGTTATGGTATTTGTTACTTAATATACATGATATATGTTGATGTATATATAAATGAACTGTATGATTAGATAGCATAAAATGGTCATGCATGATTAGTGGGTATGAATCCATTAGATTGTTTTTTTATGCCTCACTAAGTCATCGACTTAGCGTGTGAGTGTTTCACACGCAGGTTACAGAAAGTGAATATAGAAGCTGTGAGGAGCAAGACAGGTCAGCATCTCCCTTACAAGATTTCAGATCAGAAAATAGATGAGTTAAATGATTTTTGTTATTTGAATATAGTTGGCATGTACTAATTGATTGAGTTAATATGCTCTGATCGATTTTGGTTATTGTGGTCAAATTATGTAACTAATCGCTTTTACTTTAATGGAAGTTTTAAATTTTCTTTGAAATTTGTCACGAGTCAAAGTTTGAAAAGTCAATATGACACCTCATACCTATCCGGGTCGGGTACGGGTTGGGGGTGTTACACCCTCCCCATATCTACCTAATATTTTTCAATCCACCACCCGCCCACCACCCATGATGGGTAAAAAAATTTAAATCCACACCCCCCCACGGGTACATTCTCAATCCATCCCCCACCCCGCCGAGTCGAGCTCAAATATTGGTTAACCTCGAACTCGAAAAATTTAAAAGTAGCTCGACTCAAAAACTCACGCTAAAAATTATCGAGCTCAACTCGAACTTGAAATATAATATTAAACTCGAATTGAACTCAAAAAATTCAAGAGCTCAATTGAAACTCGAGACTCGAGCCGATTGAAGCTCGATTTTGAGTTCGATTCAAGCTCAAACTCACCCACTACCACAAATTATAACGTAGGCTCTCCTACAATGGGAAGACCTTAGGCGAGCGCCCCTCCCAAGTGCAATGGAGGTCGCTTACCTAGGCCATGAACCTTGATGATTTCCCATTGACCCCGTCCAAGTAAGTATGTTGAAAGGAGGTAGTTGCCTTTTATTTATAATGCCAAATAAGTGGTCCACTCATGTACTTCCCCAATGTGGGATATTGCTCCAGGAAAGGAACTATAAGTCTAGCATTTGGTGGAAAGCTGAATCCGTAAAGATCACATTATAAAGATCAACTTACCATTATAAGTTGCAAGAAAAAATAGTTGCAGTGTTTATTGACTTGAGAGCAAACATTAGGTAAGCACAAACATAGACATGACAAAAAAGCAGAAACAAAAAAACTCCAAATCCGTTAACAAAACCATCATGGACTAACCTAATGGTGGAATATATGTTGAGAAACTTGGTGGGTATAATATTCCCATATGCTGTTGTAATGCAGAGTTCAGGCTGCAAATCTCTTAAATCGGACAAGAATGTCTCCTATATAAAGTAGGAAAAAATACTTCTTATAAGCAGGTTAGGAAAATTATTGGCTTTTATATAGTACTATATCTCACAATGTAGAAATACTTCTAGCCTAAGTTCAAGATTATTATAACAAGATGGCAGTAAAATCAGACTAATTTTGAAGATGGAGTAATAGAGTGCAGTTCGAATTGAAACCTGTACTATTTGTGAAGATGAAAACTGAAGTGGTTACTCCATGTCTTTCAGGTTTGGTAGAGAATCTTAACAACCTCGTAAACTAGATGAAAGTCGCTAAACTGGTAATGTGAACTACAGACGCAATCAAACCCATCAAGATGACTGCTAAATTGCCTCTTTGTAGACGACAAATGCAAGCTCTATCATCATACCGATGAATGAATATTAAATTCATATACCTCACATTAACACAAATGCATAAACGTATCCTAATATTTGGTTAAATTACAGTTATATCTTATAAAATATTAGGATTTATAATTAGTCTCTAAAATTACACCTAAATTCATAATGGTCCAAATTTAATGGATATTCAGCTGAGCGGGCGGATGCGGGGTGGGTAACTCTCAAACCCATTACCCGTCCACTACCCGCGACGGGTACCATTTTCTAAATCCACCCCCCACTACCCACTAAAATTATACCATCCCCACCCCAATTGGAGCGGGTGCGGTGCGGAATCCACGAAATTGTACTCGTTTGCCATCCCTAACACCTCTCCTCTAAGTTGTGGGTTCACTATCTATCCTTTAAGAACAAAATTCTCCTCCCTCCCAAGGTAGAAATTGTTCAGAAAAAATAATGAAGTAAATGTGGTTTATAGCTCTGAATTCATAATCTCTTACTATTTCATCTCCCAATACCACAATTTGGCTCTACATCCATATTTCCTCACACCTTTACAACCTCCATATGTGCTATGATGTAAGTGCTCATTGTAAGTATCATACAGAATCACGAGACAATCGATACAAAATTGCACATCTTTCATAAGTTGGTCCAAAATCTTCTTAAGGTTAAGGCAATAAAATTGAATTGTTTAGAAGGACCTAATATGGTTTGTAACCCTTTGCTTGATCATGTCACTGTGAAAAAAGGTGGTTGTTCAGAATGAAGATGGAACTAAATTTGAATATCGAATTTGGAATCTATTCCGATCTAAGTTGGTATTTGTCGTTCTTGGTGGTGTCAATAACATATGGATTAAACCCGGTGCTAAGGTTCTGTACCTTGGTGCTGCGTCTGGAACAACTGTTTCTCGTGTATGTGATTGCTGGTCCTACTGGTGTGGTTATATAATGGAATTTTCTCACCCAAGTGGTCGAGACTTGGTTAACATGCCAAAGAAACTAAGAAATTTTATACCTATCATTGAAGATGCTAGGCATCCGACCAAATACAGGATGCCAGTTGGCATGGTGGATGTGATATTTCCTGATATTCCAAAGTGAAGTTTAGAAACTACAACAGGAGCAATACAAACCTTTAGAACAAGTGACTCTCGACCCATTTGAGCGTGACCATGACTGAGTCGTGGGTGGCTACTGGATGCCGAAAAAACAGGAAGTTGTAGCCTAATATTAACATTTTTGAAACGGAAAGTTCCACCCATGTATTTTTGGTTTTGAGGACCATTTAGGAATTCTACCTTGATTCTCTTGTGAGGGACAACTAGGTGCTTTTAAACATGGATCTTAATACGAATAACCAACATGAGAGTATAAAAAAAAGTGAATTATTACGTAAATGGGTTAGATTGTTGAATGATTACATTCAGTTCACCTGTTTAATAACATACAATGACAAATAATTATTGAAAGTTCAAAATTAAGTTATGATAGAACCATTCTCAAGGAAAAATGATCTTTCTTCATTAATGTTTTGTATGTGTTTTGTGTGTGTGTGTATATATATATATACATACATATATATACACATCCTCATTACTTTTATCATCGCATCAAAAACTTCTTTTTTATGAGAAATTCACCAACAAAGTTTCAAAAGAGAATTTCAATAACCAAATCGTTAGTTTTGAAACATCAAAGGAAAGCAAAAAAAACTTACTCAAACTTCACTGGCTTGTATAAATAGGGCATTAGAATTGAAAGCAAAATAGTAAAATTCTTCCTCAAAATTAAATCAACATGAACTTAACTTTGTAGTTGACAGTAATATGCCCTCTTTCTTTCCCTAATTCAAAAGAACAAAGCACTGCTACAAACCATACAAAAATAGATCGGATTGACCAAAAGGTAGACAGCGGGATCCAGCAATTCACCTTTTGTTTACGAGATATTCCTCCTTCAAACTGTCTTGGTTTTCGGAGCCTTTTTCTTGAGTTGTCTCCTGGGCAATGTGTTCTTCATGCCAATGAAGAAGAGTAATGCCCCAAGCAGGGCCAAGTTCTAAGATGTAAAGGGAATTTCGTTAGAAACAGTAACATCAAAATTTTCATCGAAAAGAGCCACCAACGAGAGATACATTTACAAGGAAGAAATGGAGACACCAATCAACCCTTGTTCCTTTATTTAAAATAAATACTATCACCAACTAACCTGTGAGAACTTTGAAAATAGTAGGCCGAATTCTTTCTTTTCAGTGTCGTAGTTGTAGAAGTCATACAAAATAGGAGTAACGATGGCCTGTTGCAGAGCCTGCAGGAAAAGAATAGTTAAATAGTTTAATCAGTTGAGTTAGTTCATGATAGAACTACTAATGCACAAGACCAGAAAACGTACCAGAAGATAAGCTCCCATAGTGCTGCCAAAGATAAAAAGGAGACCCCCAACACCCTTGAAGGCTACACCAGCAGCAACTAGATACTTAATCTGTAAATAACAATCGCGAGAGTTATGACATTAGAAAAAACCAGATGCTTATTTCAGTGGCAAAATATCGAACTTCTTACATCAAATCCTGGCACTTCCAAACCAGTGTGAGATTTCACACTCTTTGAGAAAACATTAAATTTTGGCTTGAGTGCCTTAGCTGCTGGCCCTCCATCAACACCAAATTCATTGAACCTATACACAAGAGAGCATAACATAAGAATAGAGACATGCACGAAAGAATTTATGGTAGTTCAGAGTTACAGTATACATATAAGCTCAAGGTAGAAAATAGTTCTGCTGTGATTGCAAAAGACAATTTGAATCTACAGCTCTTTAATGCATACTTTTTATAGCTAATGTATAGTTTATGGAAAGATATCTACATCTACATGCCGGCAGAATATTTCCTTCAACATAATGATAATGCTACAAATTTACACCATAGCCTTTGCAAGACCCCCAGTTAGGTAAGTATAGAACTATGAATTATCACTCTACAGATTGACAATTCAATTTCAAAACCCCACCTGCTGATTAACCTAGTTACAAATTACAATTAAATGAAAACATTTGAAACAATTATGGATTTCAAAATCCACCATTAGTAGATAGGATAACAACAACAAAAATGTACTGCTCTGCAAAATATAGTCTAATAAACTTCCAAATCTGGCCAGATCTTAAGACTCTTCGAACAATGAATAACGCATCAATCACTTTAGCAACTCTCTATTCATCATTTATACAACATAATAATTGCCAACCAACAACCATTTCAAAATTTACGATATTCATGAGATCCAGAACTTAAAGAAGTGATTGAATATATTATAAAACAAATTCCGCACTTAATCGTTAATATTTCAGCATTACAACAGAGATCAATAATTAAACATCGAAGTAACTCTAAAAAGCCAGATCAGCAATATAGATTTAAAATTTTACTCTAAATAACACCATAAATTGAACTAATTTTTCAAACAAAGCTGGCAACATTATAAAAGAAACAAGATCTGTTTTCGACAGTTAATAATCCTTTTTTCAACGAAAGAGAACATTAAATCGTCATTATTAAAGTTCAAATAACCTAACTCCAAAACTGCATTCAGATCTAACCCATTCCTCTTGTTTTCCTTTTATTTTCGTTTCCAACAAACCAAAAAAAAAGATGGGAAGTGACGCTTACTCTTGCCAAGCAGAAAGGATGAAGACTGAAGCGAAAAGAACCCTTCCGACGAAAGAAACTAACGCCATTTTTTCGATAAAAATCTAAAGATAAAAAATAACAATCAAAAGTGTTCGAAATCGGGACAAAGAATAGAGAGAACGAATCTATAAAACCCAATAGCCGGAGTTTTAAAAAGAAAGAGATTAGTGTATACAAATGAGTTGGAGTGCGAGTAGGAAGACTGACTTTATACTCGCGAAAATAGGAATGGACACGTCTATTCACCAATCAGATTCGTTTATTCTAAAGATAAAAAATAACAATCAAAAGTGTTCGAAATCGGGACAAAAGAATAGAGAGAACGAATCTATAAAACCCAATAGCCGGAGTTTTATAAAAAGAAAGAGATTAGTGTATACAAATGATGTTGGAGTGCGAGTAGGAAGACTGACTTTATACTCGCGAAAATAGGAATGGACACGTCTATTTCACCAATCAGATTCGTTTATTCTTCACGGGGAAGGCTGGTGACATGACGTGGACGAAAGTAGATAGCGAGTTGAATTCTTTTTTTCCATTTTTTTGGTTTGATCTATTTTAGCCTAGTTACGGAAATGTGCTTGTAATTCGGTTTAATTTACGGCGGTTGCCATCCCTAGACGTGCTTTTAACTTTTAAAATCCTTCCATTTTGCCGCCGGTCCATTTTGTGGAAATTTGAATGTGAATTGGATCTGTCAAGGGATTTTCCGCAAAGCAAAATGGAAATTGTTAAAATCAATGTCAAATTTGGTAGTTCTAAACCCCAAAAAAAGTCAAATTTGGATTTTGATATTTTTATTATGTTTAAATTTTATATTTATATTTATTTTAATATTATTTTAATTTTTATAACATTATTAGTTAGCTAATTACCCTTTCAAAAAAAGTTAGCTATTATTATACACTCTTAACTATTCTAATTAAATTTGTAACACACCGAATCACGGGTCGGTAGTTTCGAGTAACCCGAGTGGGTTAAACAAAACCTTTGGCCTTATAGAGAATGCATGGATTCAAGTTAGATTTGAGATTGGGCATGGGTTGGGCTCAATCATATGACAATTGGGTATTCTTAAAATAAGGACGAAACTAGAGTGACCAAATGAGTAATTATACCATTTTCTAAAACAAAAGCTGAAAACCAATTAAGATTGGTGATGTCATGTTTGAAGTATGCCTCTATTTTTCTTCACAAACTTTGTCTTATTTTCATCTTCTTCATCATTTCATTCTTCATCCCCAAGACCAAGCAAAGGTCTTAACTTGGTGACCTTACAACCCTAGTCAAGATTTATAAAGGTAAGTTTCATAATCTCCATCTTCATAGTTTTAAATTAAGCCATCAATCTCCTAATTCCACCATAGTTCCCAAAATATGGGTTTAGTAGGAATTTTAGAAACCAAGGATTCCAACTCATTTTTGGGAGATTTTCGCCTCTAGAAATGTTTTAAATTGCCCTCTAAGCTTCCCAACAACTTTAGTAACCATTTCCTAGAATTCTTACTTAGTTGGAGAAGTTGGAGAAAGCTTCAAAGCTAAGGGGAAGGAGAAGCTCACTCTTAGATGAACCTTGAGTGTTTCCAGTAGTTTAGAACAGCAAGGTCACTCACTTCTAACTCAACTCTACCACATGTAAGTCATTATAAGGTGTTTGGTAAGTCACATGAGTTATGAAACTTTTTTATGCCCCTATAATCATGCATAATACATTAATAACAGTTGAGACCCTTAGTAGGATGTGTTGGGTCGAAAGTTGGTATTTTTTATACCCAAAATAGGGCATTTCTAGGAACGAGTATCGATACTAAAAGAACGATACCGATGATGTTCTTTATACTCTGAAATAACAAAGAGTTTGGGACAGAAGTATCGATACTCCTTCATAGGGTATCGATACCAGGGGTAGGGTATCGATATTCCCATATAATTATTGATACATAGGCATTTTTTATAACATCGAAGCCAAATTTGGTACTGATACTAAGGCAATATTGATACCTGTATTGATACACTCTATAGGAGTATCGATACTCAGCTATTTTCTGAAACATCAAAATTAAAATTGGTATTGTAACACCCTCAACCCGTACCCGACCCAGATACGAGTCTGAGGTGTTACATTGACTTTTCAAACTTTGACTCTTGACGAAAAATCAAGGAAATTTAAAACTTTCATTAAAATAACATTGTTACTTTACACAAGTTAACCAAAACAAGACAAAACTGATCAGAGCATTTGTAACTAACACTTTTCTTATATGCCAACAGACTATACACAACAAAATACCTACTTTATCAGCTACTTCTGATCTGATCTTCTAGCAGTGCTGCTGTTCTTGCCACTCCTATTTCTGTTATTCTCGATTCTTGGTACCTACGTGTAATCACTTACACGCTAAGTCACAGACTTAGTGAGGCATAACATAAATATGTATACACATGTATAACATGAATTTATGAACAAGCATTCTTCCATTGATCATGACATTTCGACTTGCATATATTTATTACACTATAACATATATGATGATAACACGCACATATAACATTTTTATGCTAATTTCACTTAATTATCTTTGGATTGCCCATGTACATTATTGAGAACAAATGTATGTGAGTACATAGAGGTTATGCACTATGCTGTCACCACAGCTCGTATAATTCCCTCAAGGGGCACTGAATATTTGTCCGAAGGACCACTATCCCGAAAGACCACTGATTGTTCCGAAGAACCACTATGTCCCGAAGGACCACTGATAATCCCTCGACTCTTGGCATGCCAATTATACCTATAGCTCTCATATTAAATAACATAGGCTTAATTATAAATACATTTCTCATTTCATATCTCTTTCATCACTGTCCATGTAAACACATAAGTCACTTTATATGATCATTTTCATTATTTCACATATCTGGAAGAATTCTCTGATAATGGCATTCATTCATATAATACCATGTTAATCATGAATGAAAAATGCATGAAATCACTATAACGTTAACACATATATATGTATGCATGTGCATGAATATAAAATCATAAATTCAATGATAAGAGATAGACTTATCGTAAGTCTTGTCTCAATTCCATTTCATCTAGGATATGCACTCACCTTGACCTTGCTTATTTTGACTTGATCCTAATCATTTGTTTGTTCCGGAACGAAATTACGTTCTATATCTACATAGTAATACATTGATACTAATCTGTATACTAATTAATATATTCTAAACTATCACTCCTTAGGCTAAAAAGAAAGTTATTTTCATCTTTTCATGAAGGTATGCATCGATGCACTACACCATGCATCGATGCATCCCTTGACGGGTGCATCGATGCACAATCTATACATCGGTACATAAATCCCATTCGATGTTTGTATTTTAAGGGGGTGCATCAATGCACTACTTGTGCATCAATGCACTACTTGTGCATCAATACACTAATGACATTCAATGTTTTTATTTTAAAGAAGTGCATCGATGCACTTCATGTGCATCGATGCACATTGAACAATTTCTAGGTTTTTTACCCTTGATGCATCGATACACATTGAATGTGCATCGATGCACATAGCCCAGAAATATTATTTTAGCACAAAAATCTCTTTATAATCTTCTCAACACTTCATATTTCCCCTCTTTTTATATCCTTAACTTGCATATACCTACTTAAACTAATTAATACCCATTCAATACCTCTTAAACTTAAAAATCCAATCCTCCACATAGATTTTAAGAATCTCCCTCAATTTCCAACATGTTCTAAATCTAATTTTAACACTTCGTATGTCTTAATTAAGTCGATGACAAGTCAAATTCAACCTCCGATTTCAAATATGAACTCTATTTCAAATTTCTATTCAAGAACTCCTTATCTTTAATTCTTCCTACACCCTTCATCTTGTTGTTTTAAAGCAAATTAAGCTTTCCTTAAGCTTTATTAGCATCTAAGGATAAAAAAAACTTAAATTTCAGCAAACAATTAACTCATGAAAGATCTTACTTTTGTTTTGACCTCTTCACGTTTAGGAGAAAAGAAGAGAAAAATAGAACTCTGGAACCTTGTTTTTCTTTCTTCTCTACCACGTGGAGCTAATATATAAATCCCTTCCTTAATTATTTTTCCTTGCAAAAGACCATTCTATCCTTTTATTCTTTCTTCTTTGCAATTTAACCATATACCAAATTACAATACTATTCAATTATTCTGTTATAGTCATCAAATTCTAATTTTTTACAATTTAGTCACTAACCCGGTATTGAGGATGTTACAATTCTCCCCCTAAAGAAAATTTGTCCTCGAATTTTCATTGCACGAAAAAGATGGGGGTATTGATTCCTCATATCCTCTTCATGCTCCCATGTTGCTTCCTCTACTTTGTGATTTCTCCACAATACTTTGACTAATGGAATAGTCTTGTTCTTTAATTGCTTAATCTTATGAGCTAAAATTTGAACCGGTTTTTCCTTATATGTTAAATCTGGTTGAATCTTGATCTTTTCTGGAGTCACAATGTGGGAGGGATCAGATCTATACTTCCGAAGCATTGAGACATGGAAGACATCATGAATCTTTTCCATTTCAGGTGGTAATGCCAATTGATATGCCACTGGTCCAACTATCTTTACAATCTCATAAGGTCCAATGAATCGATGACTTAACTTTCCTCTTCGACCAAATCTCAAAACCTTCTTTCAATGAGACACTTTGAGAAACACTTTATCTCCTATTTGATATTTGATATCCTTTCTCTTTAGATCCATGTATGATTTCTGTCTATCAGCTGCTGGTTTGAGATTACTTTGAATTACTTGAACCTTTTCTTCCACTTCCTGGATCAACTCCGGACCAAGAATTTCTTTGTCTTTAAGCTCGAACCAATATAGAGGCGTACGACATCTTCTTTCATAAAGAGCTTCATAAGGTGTCATTTTGATGCTTGATTGATAACTATTGTTGTACGCAAATTATGCAGAGCAAGTACCTTTCCCATGATCCTTTGAACTCGATAACACAAGCTCTCAACATATCCTCCAAAATTTGGATTGTTCTCTCGGATTGGCCATCAGTTTGTGGATGAAACGATGTACTAAAATTCAACTGAGTTCTCAACGCTCTATGTAATGATTTT